TCCAGCTGACCAGAGTTTGTGTCAAGTTGAAAACAACAAGCAGAGCAGAGCAGAGCAGAGCAGAGCAGAGCAGAGCAGAGCAGAGCAGAGCAGAGCAGAGCAGAGCAGAGCAGAGCAAAGCAAAACCAAGCATACCACTAACAAAAACCTAGCACATTGCCCTATAGAAGTGAGACCATCAACTTGATTTGAGATATAGAGTTTATAGAGATAAACTACCGTCTCAAGGGTAATTTCTGTTTGGAGAAACAAAAGCCACAGGGAAAGGAAAACCCACAAATATAGGTACAAATAGTTTTTCTTGCTTCAGATCTGTGCCAGTCACACAGTTCCATCTAGACTTGGTGACTTCCTCAGACGGGGTCTCATGTGACCCTGTAAACTGGTCTCAAACTCATTCTGTAACAGAGACTAACCTTCAACTCCTGAGTCTCTTGCTCCAGTGCACCCCCCACCCCACCCCCTGCCACCCCAAATGCTGGAATTACAGGTGTGGGCTACTAATAGCCAATCACATACCACTTTAAGAAGTTGAATAAATACGTGTATTATTAACTTGCCAGATTTCCCAATAGACGAAGCCTAGTATGTTGTCCATTGCTGAATTCCCCACGGTGAACAATGAGTAAATATTTGTTTACTAAAGTGCAACTGAAGTCTGAGTTCTGAGCAAAGTCCTTCTCTTCATCATGTGTGTTTCTCAGCACCTGACTCAGGACTGGGAACCAGTTCCTTAGAAAATGGTTCTTGATTAAAGTGTTTTAATTAATTAACAACCAGAAGTGCTTCCTATTAACTACATTTCTCCAAGCGTGCTTCAAAGATACAACTGGCATACTTTTCACAGGGTGAAAGAGACCTGCTGAGAAACCGCTTTTTTTTTTTAAAGATTTATTTATTTATTATATATGAAGCTGTCTTCAGACACACCAGAAGAAGGCATCAAATCTCATTACAGATGGTTGTGAGCCACCATGTGGTTGCTGGGATTTGAACTCAAGACCTCTGGAAGTGCAGTCAGTGCTCTTAACCACCGAGCCATCTCTCCAGCCCGAGAAACCGCTTTTTTAAAACCACAGACGCACGCCAATTAGATAGAGTTCCAAAGGTAACACTCTTCGTTGGAATGAGAAGGCAGTTTTTCATTCTTCAGAGAGGGAAGCTCTCTGCATATGCTCTGACGGGCTTTGCTATGGTGTGGATAGTGATAATTCTAGATCTTAGTTATACCTTAGATAGATACCATTGAGCAGCAGGCAGTGTTTTGTCCGGTCTGCCTGTTTGTCTAGTCACTTACATATCTTTCCAGGGTTACAATATGAAGGTCTTAACTGCAGAACCTAGTCTGGATTATTTTATATCACAGAACCTTTCACTAATAGTAACGGTATTGAATTTTCTTTGTTCATTTGAGACAGGCTCTTCTACTGGAATACTGCCCTGGGTAGCCTGGAACTTGAGCTCCTCCTGCCTCTGCCTTTCCAAGTGTTGGGATTACTGCATGAGCTATTCCTTCATAGCCGCTCTTCAGTGAAGATTTTGTTCCAAATATCACAGTTTGTGTTTTCCATGTATTGTTATTAAACTTTAATCCTAAATTTTTTTTCTGGTTTAAATTAGGTGCTATGCTCATCATATGGGTAAAGAAGTGAAAACCATAACCGAGAAGTAATTTGCTCAAGCAGACACTGTTAGGATCATCAGAGCTGAGCTCAGCACTGCCTTGTGGTGCTTTGAAAGAGAAATAACCCCATGGTCTCAGACATTTGACTGCCTGATCTCTAACTGGTGGTGCTCTTTGGGAAGATTCTGGTGGTGCAGCCTTGCTGGAGGAAGTAGTATGTTGTTGGAGGCAAGCTTTGAGATTAGGGGCTACCTACCTCATCCAGTTTGCTCTCTCTGCTTGGAGCTTGCTGTCAAGGATGTGAGCTCTCAGCTTCCTGCATGTGCTGCCATGTCTGCTTATTGCAATGCCTCCCCACCAGGATGGACTCATGTCCCTCTGGATCCACAATCCCCCCTTCCTTCTATAGGTTGTCTTGGGGATGGTATTTTATCATAGCAACATAAAAGTAACTAACACATGACAGCAAAAACCACGCCCTCACTAAGACATGGGTTTTATTTATAGGGATTGTCATTTTTCAAGATATATATTTTTCAGATATAAATTTGACAACCAGAAGGAGATTATTGAGATTCCTGAATGCATTTAATCAGCAGCTATGTAATAATCTTGAGGACCAAAGTTTGCCCTTCAAAACGATGTGTGAGTGCTCACGTATTGATGGCAAGAGACGTGGGTGTTTTTCCTATAATTACATTCTTGGAGTTCTCATCAATTTCTTTTTCTCTTCAGCTTTACAGTTAAAGGAACAGATGATTTAGTTATATAATTAGGCTTCTTCCCACCTCAGTGAAAGCTGATGGTGTTATAGCTAAGTTATGACCATTCCTGTGGTTATCTAGAGGAGCACATGGGGCCTCTAGCTGTTATCTGTTCTAGTCATAGACACAGATATATGCAGCTATGTAACAGAATCTCCCAGGTCCGTATATATATGATCTTGACTTTAACAGCTCCTTGAAGCTGTAAATAGAATTGGATGAAGCATTTATTTTCCAATCTTCTGAAGTTGTAAATACAGACATCCCCTTTGGCCTGCTACTAGCACTGGGAGCTAATTCATAGGATCCCAGACCTAGAGGTTCTGAGTCAGAGTGCAGATCAGGGACATTGTTTCCCTAGCATACATTAGGCCCTGGGTTCCCATCCCTCAAGGAAAACATGGAGCCTATGATTTGATTCCTGACTCAACAAGATTAAATCACATTTGTAGTCTAGTCCATGAAAGCAAAAGAGCAAGAGTCAGCATAACTAATTTATTTATTTGAATTAGAGAGAATTCAAAGAAGAGGAGCCAAATATAGAAAAAAATATGATGGGGAAAGCAGTTAGTTTAAAAAGTTGAGAGAACAAAGTATGTTTTGCTTGGATGTGCAACCAAAGAAGCCTGCCAAGAATGGTCGGCAAAGGTGTGAGAGCCACGAAACGTCTTCTGTCCAACCTTTACAGGAAACATGCAAGGAATTTCCTAGACTGGTCAGGCTTGGATTGTGGGAAAGGTCTCCTTCAAGCCTCCCTTGGCTTTTATGGCAAGAAAACAGTGATGACTATAGAGAGCTGTAGTTCTCAAAGCTTGCCCCCAGTAGCAGAAAAGACAGTCATGGTCCTGAATCCCAATGTTGAAAGGCACCATGAAATAAATATTATGAGGACACAATGGCACAAGGAGGAGAGCTTTCAATTCTGTGAGCAGAAGAGAAACACTTCACAGCAAACATGTTGCCTTGTTCAATGACAAGGCACGCTCCCCAGCAGAAGGGGAAGAGAAGCTGAGTTCACACACATATTTGAGTCAAAACTCAAGGTGTGGGAAAGAGGTCATGAACTGCCACAGCAGTCCTGAGGGGTTAGCACTTCTGAGTTATTCATCTTTAGGTTCTAGGCACATGAATGTTAAAGACGGAACCACAGCTGCACAGTTCTAGGTTCTTCTGTATCTCCTCAGATGTCAAGCCTCATCCAAACTGGGGTCTAACACGGTATTTGGCCTAGAGCTACGCTGTGTTTCTCACCTGTAAGTTGCAGCGCCCTAGTCAATGCTACGGTCCACTTCTGCTTTCAATCATAGGAGAGGCACGCAGAAGAGAAACAAAACTGAAAGCTCTTGAAGGAACACTCACTAGGAACCTAAAGCACCAAACTCTTTCCCTGAGAGATCTGGCAGAGTTCCAGACATTTATCCTTTCAGCAACCGTGAACTCCAGGCACCTATTAAGTCCTGTGAATGTGAATTAACACGGTAGAGCCGAATCGGCCCAAGGCTCTGCAGCAGTCTTCTCAACTCTCCCTGGCACCTAACAACCATTTATTTAAATTTCTACCTCAATAAATCCAGCTACGATAAATGCCCTCCCCCAAACAAAACAAAACAAAACAAAACAAACAAACAAACAAAAAGCCCGCAAAACCACAAACTACCCCTAAGTTGTGCGTCCCGTTTTAGGAAAAAAGAGAAAGGGAGCAGAAAGAAAATCTGAATTGGTTTGATTCTTCCTGCCCTCGCCATGCGGTGGTCGCAAAGACCAGCATCGGAGCGAACTGTTTTACAACTTAGAAAATGCAGCGGTCTTTCAATTCTGTCAACTGAATAGACCCCTGGGGCACTGGAGCCAGGCGAAGGCAGACAGCCCGGTACCCAGCAGAAGGATGGAGCACACGGTCGGTACAACCAGGATCCGCGGACCCTGAGGATGGGAGGATGCTCTGAGCGCTCCAGCCTCTGGCTCCCGGGCACGGAGAGGCGGGCGCGCACGCGCGCACACGCACCACGTCCTTCGCCCAGAGTTGTGTCTCGTCTCCCTTTTGTTTTTCTCCCTTCCCGGTCATGAGACCCGGAAGTTTTTTTTTTTTTTTTCAATCCCGTCTCTCTCCCTTTTCCACCCCCCTCCCCAATCTATCACATGGCAAAGCTAGAATAAAAACAGAAAAATGGCGACGGTCACGTTGTGGCGAGCCTTGCTGCGTCATTAGATAATCCTCATGCAAATAGCGGGAAGAACAAAGGAAGGGGGGCTCGGGACCCCCGAGGGCGCAGGTGGGTGCGGGGCGCGCGCGGCCGCGGGGGCGGCGTCCGTGTGCGCGTTCCGGGTGCTGCGCTCTCGGCCCTGGGCTGGTGGCGCGCCCTGGCCGGCCCGCGGGGCGCAGAGAGCGGCTGTGCGGCGCGCGCACGGCGCTCGCACTCGGACCGGCCCGGTGCCCCGGAGCCGGGAGACGGCGGCGGGGGCGGAGGCTACGGCTGGACGCCTGTGCGCGCTCGGCACCAGCTTCGGTAGGCGGCGGACCGCGCGGGGCCGGGCCCGGAGCTGTGGCGCACTCGCTTTTCTCCCACCCCCGCCCGGTGGCTGGGCGCTGGCGCGGTTCCCTCGCTGTCCCGCGGCCGCTGGAAATAGAGCCGGGATGTTGTTTACATGACGGATCCAGCGGGAGGAGTCTGCAAGGAGGAGGCGGAGAGAGGAAGAGCGGAGTCCTCGCGGCGGCGGTGGCGGGCCAGGGTGCGGGCGAGCGCCGCGCGGTCCCCGAAGCAGGACACGGGAGCCTAGGGTAGGCAGGCGGGGGCTCGGGCTGCGGGAAGGCTGTCACAGTGGGCTTTGCGATTCCTAGCCTGTCACTCAGACTCTCGGGGGCAGGGAGAAGGAGAATGGAGAGAGGTTGGGAGAACCTCTGTTTTCCCTCACGTTTGGGAACGCCCCCCCCCTTATCCCCACTTTTCCCGCTTCTCCCTGGACTCACCTGTTTATTTCCACCGCTCAGGGCTCTGGGTTTTTGTTTGCTTGTTTGTTTTAAACGTGGGCCAGAGGGGCTGGGCTTATTATTATTGTTATTATTATTATTAATGAGATTATTGGGGAGGCGAGAGGGTGTTGCTGTAATCGATGCTAGTCCAGGTCGGTTTTCAGGAGGGGGAGGGGACTTGGCGGAGACCCCGGCTCCTGGCCGCAGCTGACCCCTGGGCTCCTCCCCGCCTTCCCGGTGAGGAATCCTTTCCCTTGCTCCGCGAGGCCAGCTGCCACCTTACTGGAGAAAGACCACACCTATGCTTCTTCCCGTCTTGGAGGCGAGGTGAGCTAAGAAGCCAGCCAGTGCCCTGCCCGGCAGAGCTTGGCCGGACCTCGACACCCCAGAATTGGTAAAAGACGCTTCTTTTCACCTGCTACGTCAGTCCTCTAGTCCCCAGAAGTTGCAGTTCACAGTTTATGTTAGAATTTGTCTCTTTCTTCACCCTTCTTCCCTAACCGGTAATGAACTGTTGAGTTTAAGTTGAGAAAGAGAGGTGTCCCCCTTCCTACCCTTAGTGAGGGTTTAATTCCACAGTGGGTCTTCCTCTGAGATCTGCACTTCCTCAGTCTCCTCTATCTCCCACTAAACTTAGCCCAGAACTAGGCCTAAGCTTTTATTCCCTGTGGGCCTCACCCTGGCCCCTTGCCTTTCTCGAGAGCCAAATGCCTCTCAAAGCAGAAGGCACACCCAAGCCCCAAGTCTCTTCCAGGAGGGAGGGAAGGAGAAGGGATTGGTTGGGGGGGGGAATGTCCTTAAGTTCCGGTTCTGAATACCCCAGTAGCATTCCCCTCCGGGAGCCTCCTAAATTCTTCCTAACAGCTGTTTTCTGCAGCCCCTTTTGCTCCTGGCCTTATAGATGTTTGAAGGGAGTGGGTGGAGAGGGAGAGTCACCCCCACACACACCCCTTTCCTAGAATTAGGCATTTTTTTCTCCTCTGTCTTTTCATTTATTATGTTTTGCATATAAAATATGCAAGTGTGATTGCCTGCTATTAGAGTTGATTTTCTTCCTGGCTTGTGACTAACTGGGACTCCAGAGGGGAGGAGAGGGGAGGGACGGTGAGAGAGGAATCATCACCTATGTCCTCAGAATTGCCAGAAGAGACCCTTCTGAAGAAGGCACTTCTCCCTTCCATGACATCACCACTAAGCCCTTCCAACTTTAGCTTCAGAACAGGAAGAAGGCTCAAAATAGAACTAACTACCTTAGGAATCCAGCTCCTTCACGAGATCAACTTTTACATCAGCGGCTGGGGGAACAAAGTGAGCTTTGACCCGGCGTGAAAGGAAAGAGAAAGCTGTAGTGTTAGTAAATGCTTTTCTCGAGGTAGGCCGGGCTATTGAGGCTCATGAATGATAATTAGGTGTGGTGTGTATTATTCATATGTGTTGGCATGTAAACGGAAGCTCGTCTCACTCAGTATGTGTAAAGTGGGACTTGTGGATTATGATCTGCAATCCTGGTAAATCAGCCTGGTAGACAGACGCTAGGAAGGGGTACTCGGAGGAAGAGAGAGACTGAGGATGTGGCAGCTGTTCTCTGTAAGTTGAGAGGCTTAGTTAGTGTAAACAATAATTGTAACTTTCACGGGGTGACTAATGTCCTGGTCAAAGAAGCCCCAGTGTCAAGGTTTCTCTCCTTTTCCTTAGAAATGAACCATGGTTGGTCTCGAGGTCTGTTTAAGTCTCTGTCCGTCTGTCTCTCTGTGTGTCTGTGCGCCCCCACCTCCTCTGAGAGCTCTTGCTCTCTGTAGACCAGGCTAGCCTGGAACTCAGAGATCACCTTTCTCTGGGATTAAAGGTGTATGTCACTAAGTTTGGCTGGTATCTCCAATCTTAATGTCTCCATTATGCCTCTGATTTGAGATAACACCTTTCTCCTTACCGAGCAGACTTTCTAGAAACAGCTGCTTAGCAATGTATTGTAGAAAAAAAGAACATAATGGAACAGTTGGTGTATGCTGTAGCAAGACTTGCTGCTCAATGGGTTAAGGGCTTGTATTCTGATTCAGGTTTAAAAGAATCCAAGTGACCGACAGAATAGACTGTACCAGCTACTACCATAGCCTCTAGCAACTCTAGGCACCAGCCATCTAAACTAGGGGCCAATGAGATCAAGCTTTAAACTTATTTAATTTCTAAAACCCATAAATGACTCAGGTATTGGGAACGGAACTGTTTGGGAAACAAACATTAGCGTATATGTCTACTTTTTAAAATATATATAGTGTGGAATCTAAATACAGAGTAAATCTCTCTTGAAAATTCAGGCTGGGATCAAGATATGTTTTAGTATAAGTACAGTGGACTTTTGAAGACAGTATAGAAAAGAAAGATTATTAATATGTCCCTTACTAATTTTTGCTTAGCGGGGTGTTTTTTTGTTTTGTTTTTGTTTTCCTTTTGGATTTTCAAGACAGGGTTTCTCTGTGTAGCCATGGCTGTCCTGGAACTTACTCTGTAGATCAGATTGGCCTTGAGCTCCTGTAGATCCTCTTGCCTCTGTCTTCTGAGTGCTGGGACTAAAAGTGTGCACCACTTAAGCCCAGCTAATGTCAGTTTTTAAAAATGTGGCTACAAAGAATTTAAAGGCACATAATGAAACTTTGTAACGTTTACCAGTCTTACGTTATTTAACACCTTACTGCTGCTGTATGGCTTTGGTCTCAGCATTCCATCTTTATAGCCATGGATGAATTGCAAAGAGTTTCATCAACTATCTGCTTTCTACTGCTGAAATGCATGAAAGAAAGACTCAGGGACCCAAGCGCATGAAGCTATTCCTCTGTCTCGGCGCTCCTGATGTCTGCTTTTCAGGAGGTTAAAAACAAACTAACAAAACCTGAAACATTCTAAAGGGGTTAGCAGTGGCTTATGGGAAATTGGGGAAACTAAGGTACCTCCTAGCAGCTGCTTGTTTAAAAGTTTCCTGGAAGTAGCAGTATATCTGAAAACACTAGGTAAAGTAGCAACAGTTGTGACACATGGTGATAATGTTGCCAGTCTTCTATTACTATCATTTACTTTGTCTTTTAATTTCATCCCCTACTTTAGACCTCACAGGATTGCTTACTCCTGTCCCTCCCAAAACTATACATTGCAGGAATAAGGGATACTGCTTTAGAGGGTTTTGATTTGTCTAAATAAATTTAGTAATGGCCTGAGAAGGCATTTGTTGATTCTTGAAACAGGATCTCACTATGTAGCCCTTGATGGCCTGGAATTTACTACATAAAACAGACTGGCATCAAACTTGTAAGTCAACCTGCCTCTGCCTCCTGTGTGTGCTATTCTTATTTTATGATGCAAAGAAAGAAATCAAATAGACAGTTTGATTGATAACCAGAGAAATGAAGAGCCACTATTTCCTGAACTTGTGAACATGACTGAGAAGTGCTGGGAAGGGACATGAAAAGAACATTGTGTGACTTTAGAAAGAGTTGACTGGCTATTACCTGCACACAGTGCCAGGCTGTGCAGTTGTCCCCACTTAATGAGTGACATGTCACCGTGGCATGCCTTGCCAGTAGAAATGTGTTCGTTTCACAGGGATAAGGATAGAAATGAGAATGGTAGACCCTGCAGGGAAGTGGTGTGTGATTATATTTATGGTCTAGCCAAAGGATGTAAATTGGAGATGAGCATTAAATCTTTGGTATTATCCCCTTTACCTGTGCATTAGGGCTTTTCAAAACCTAAGACCCAACATTTAGATGTCAGTGCTACAGTAAGTAGGACACTGTAGGCTAACAGAAAACCATCAGAAACTTTTAGAGATGGCTGGTGGTGGATGATCAGTCTGAAGTTAACTTTTTCATAGGAGTGATTTGATTTTGTTATGTAGGCCAGACCACCCGTTAAACTCCAGATCTTCCTGCTGTAACCTCCCAGTGCTGGGATTATGGCCAGCTACAGTTAATCCTTTTTTCTATTTGTAATGAGTAACTTTGTAAGAACCTATTTGGTTGACTGGCTGTTTTTATGATTATTTTGTGTAAGTCTTCCGAAAATTCTTTTTAATCTTTATTTTTATTTTATGTGAATTGAGTGTTTTGCCTGCATGCATATCAGTGTACCATGCCAGAAAATGGCATCAGATCCCCTGGAATTACAGACCATCGTGAGCTGCCTTGTGGTTGCTGGGAATTGAACCCAGGTCCTCTGGAAGAGCAACCAGTGCTCCTAACTACTTAGCCATTTTTCCGGTCTCCTGACATTTTTTTTTTTTTAAAGATGGGATATTTTACTTTGTAGCATAGATTGGCCTCAATCTTAATGCATAGCTCTAGCAGACTTCAAACAAACCAGTTCTTCTCTTTAGCCTCCCAAGGGCATGGATTCTTGGTGTGTGCCAGCACATACTGCCTCAACTGGGGTGGTTTTGATTACTGTAAAAGCATATTCTATAGAGGTAAACACAGAGTGGAAATGACTTGTGAGTAAACTATAAAATCTAAATTCTGGGTATAAAATGCAATCCAGAACAGAGTCAGAAAGTAAAGTAACTTGAGTCATCAGACTAACTACATTTACACTGAGTACATGTAGTAATGGAAGGCTTTTAAAATAGAGCATATGGGACAATCTGAATTTTTTTTTTTGTCTCTTGGACATTTTTTGGACTAAAATAATGAGCTTGAGGAACAAAGCCTACTTTTACTTTGTTGTTTTTAATTGTTTTTACAAAATAAAGTAAGTGTGTGTGTGTGTGTGTATTCTGCGTATTCTGCTGTGCATGCACCATGGCACTTGTGTAGAAGTCAGAGGACAAGCTGTGGAAGTCTGTCCTTTCAACATGTAGGTCCCCAGGGATGGAACTCAGGATATCACCTCACTCTTTGGACAAAGCCATTTCACCCATGGAGCCATCTTTCCAGCCCTCTGCCTGTGAGACTCTGTACATGTCTTCTTTCCAGCCCTCTGCCTGTGAGACTGTATATGTCTTCTTTCCAGCCCTCTGCCTGTGAGACTCTGTACATGTCTTCTCTGAAAGGGTGTTGGTTTGACCTCATCCACATGGACCTGCTCCTATGCACATGAGCTTTTTCGAGGCCAGTCCTCTAAGTGGATGGAACAGTGACATACATGCGTCTGGTGGTGGCTGTGTTTGAATGTCAGGGCTGGTTCTGAACAGAACTTTTTGCCTTGACTTTTAACCAGTCTTTCTCTTTAAGGAAGAGAAAAAAAAAATCTGTTACCTTCTCTGGGGTTTTCCACAAGTCTTTCGCACAAATTTGTTTCTTAAAGTGTAATATAGCCGAGTTTGCAGCAAGGTGCACACTACATACACTACTGCATGCTCCTGGCCAGACAGGTGCTGACATCCAGACTCCTGCTGCCAGGACATTGCCATAATGTTTAATATTGTCAGTGAGCTGGTTTACAATTTTCAAGTTTAAGGGACTGGGAATTTAAATTAGCCAGCAACAGTTTTAAAACAGTTCTGATTTACAGACAACTTCACATGCCTCCAGTTATGCAATACATATGCAGTTTAATGGCTTCAGGTTATATGTTAATTTTTTTAGCTTACAATTGGCAGGTGCGAGGTGTACCTTCAATCTGATCATTTGTATTCTGTGTCACTCAGGAGTAAGGTATAAGGCACAGTACTGTTCCTGAAGGACTTGGATTTTAAGAAATTTTGTGCATTCATTATTATGAAGAAATTGGTTCTTTTTTTTGTTGTTTTTATGTTTGGGTTTTTTGTTTTGTCTTGTTTTTTTGTTTGTCTGTTTGCTTGTTTTTAACAACAAGGTCTCTTTATATTTAAGTTTGGCCTAGAATTCACTCTCTAGCTCAGGCTGACCTGGAACTCAAAGCAGTCATAATACTTACCTAGTGCTGGGATTAAATAGGCATAACTGACCAGCTGCGTTGTCTTTTGTCGTTGTTGTTAGTTTGGTTTGGTTTTTGAAGGCAGGTTTCTTTGTAGCCCTGGCTGTCCTGGAACTACTCACTCTGTAGACCAGGCAGGCCTTGAACTCAGAAATCCACCTGCCTCTGCTTCCCGAGTGCTGGGATTAAAGGCGTGCACCAGCACTGCCTGGCTTGTCTTGTTATTTTTTACATGAGAACTGAGTTTGCCACCCTGAGGAAAGCAAGCTGTGGCCCTGTCTTTGTTCCTCCCTTACAGTGTGATAGGCTTTCTTGCTGAAGGCTGAGTACCGTTGCTCTCTTGTTTTTCATGAATAATTTCATTTGCAAAAGAGAAATAAGTTGAAGAAGTGTTTCTGATTTAGTTTTACAAGAACGTACATTTATTTATAAGGTGAATTTCCAAGAAGAAACAGTGTACAACTCCATTTTGAAGTACTGGCAATTGGACCCAGGGCCTCACAAATATAAGGCAAGCTACTGAGCTACATTTTCCACCCTTTTGTATTGAAATAAATTGAAAATAGTGAAAGAAAAAGTTTTTTTTTTAAAGTAGATATCACTCGTTATTTCACCAGAAATGTTTTATAACTGTGTGAGTTTTGGTTCAATAAATTTGGCTAATATAGTGAACTTAAGCGTCAACGTTCATGGCACACATTAAATTCCCTTTGGGGTTCTGGACAGTCAGTTACCATGTTACCCATTCAGACAGGGATCTGTCTGCTGATAACTGAATGAACACTGGAATTCAAGTGTGTTTCCATAAGTGGAGAAGAATCTATGGTCCAGAGAAATTAAGCTCTAGTATTTTTATATTTTTTGGTTGCCCAGATCTCCAAATTTTTCTTTTATAACAGTCAAAATAACTTTGTTCACATAACATGTTTATAATTTGTGTGAAAACATTCGACCATTTCCAGGAAGCAAGAGTTGTGGGCTCCCGCTCATTCTTTCTTTTAATCTTCACTGCCACCTTGTGTCTCGACTCTGTATTACATCAGTTTGCTAAGCCCTACATGCTGATCCTTTAACTTTTAGCTATCTTTGTTCTTTGGAGAGATTGTTTCTAATTTCTGTGGAGGTGGATTATTTCATTTGGTTATTGCTTTTTTTTTTTTTTCTTTTTTTTTGGTTTTTCGAGACAGGGTTTCTCTGTATAGTACTGGCTGTCCTGGAACTCACTCTGTAGACCAGGCTGGCCTCGAACTCAGAAATCCGCCTGTCTCTGCCTCCCAAGTGCTAGGATTAAAGGCGTGCGCCACCACTGCCCGGCTGGTTATTGCTTTTTTAAGATGAACGTCAGTTTCATAGTACATAGAGTTAGTTGATCAGCTACGTGCATTGTGATATTCTGGTTTCCAACTCCTGGTCTAAAGAATTGGTTCATCTAGCTGACTTATTTGAGGCAGAGTTAATGTCTGATCTGCATATAATGAATCTTTGAAATTGAGTGAATGCCTAATTGAAAACATAATTATTTTTCAAATACCTGTCAGGCTCTGCTCATGCTGAAATAGTTAGAGAAATGACTGACGTGGGAAAATGGAATGAATCATGGTTTTAATAAGTTGGTATTATGTTGGTATACTGATCTTAGAGACTTTTGTAAACCCCCCCCCGCCCATTTTAAGGCTAAGTCTCACTATATAGCCCAGGGTAGCCTAGAAGTCACAGAGATTCACCTGTCTCAGCTTCCCTAGTGGGACTAAAAGCATGCAGTACCATGCCCAGCCTTTTTTGTATCTTTTATTAAAGGCAGGACTCCTCCCTGAAATAACCTCAGGGTATGTCTCAAAGATACAGCTAATAATAATGATGTGTGTGTTGCCTTTTTAAAAAGAGACACTCCAGCAGAGTGTCCTAGCACTTACAGGCAGAGGCAGATGGATCTGTGAGTTTGAGGCCAGCCTGGTCTGTAGCGAGTTTCAGGACAGCCAGGCTACACAGAAAAACCTTGTATCTATAATAATAATAATTATTATTATTGCATTAATAATGCATTATATGTTAATATGTAATATAATAGATGGCATATGATAATGCCTATGTTGTATAAATAAGTATACACCATGTTATTGATTTTATTGATATATTAGTAATATATTTATTGTTATTATTTTATAAAAGTCATCGCAAAGATTTCTAGCCTCACATGATTTTTTTGTTTGTTTGTTTTTGTTTGTTTTTTTGAGACAGGGTTTCTCTGTGTAGTTCTGGCTGTCCTGGAACTCACTCTGTAGACCATGCTGGCCTCGAACTCAGAAATCTGCCTGCCTCTGCCTCCCAAGTGCTGGGATTAAAGGTGTGCGCCACCACCGCCCGGCACATGATTATAAGTGTAGCATTGACATAAACCACAGTGAGAGCCTGGCACAGATGAGCACCACCCAGCTGGTCAGCATCGTGACCATTTAACATCCAGAGCATCAAGACTGATAGTTCATGATTTGGGAGGAATTGCTTTCGTAAGTGCAAACCACTAATTTCTATTTCATGATCTGGGTTACTAGAAAACCTGACTTCCAAAGAAAACATTCAGAAATGTTTGTGTTATCAGCTGAGTATCCTCGACAGTGATGAGATGAATAAGGGAGAAAAGGAAAATCTAGTCCACAGAAACGAATTTGGGCCTGAGTTGCTTAGTTATAAGATCTTGGGCAAATCACAGCATGTCTCAGGATTTCCGGGGTTTTTACACTTTTTTTTTTTTTTTAAAGATTTTTGTTTTGTTTTTTGAGACAGAAGGTTTGTGTATTCCTGGCTGTCCTGTAGCTTGCTATATAAACTAGGCTGCACCCAAGCTCACAGAGTTTTTTCTGCTTCTGCCTCTTGAGTGCTGGGATTAAAGGCATGCACCACCTCACTGGTTTTATTTTTATTTTATGGTTTTAAGTGTTTTGTCTGCATGTATGTCTGTGTGCCGCATGTGGTGTATGTGTGTGTGTGTGTGCGCGCACGCGTGCGTCCAGGATACAGAAAGACAGCATCAGATCCTCTGGATCTGGAGTTAAGAGATGGTTGTAAGCCCCATATGGGTGGAAGCCCCATATGGGTGCTGGGAATGGGACCCAGGTTCTCTATAAGAGCAACTTATACTCTTAACTGCTAAGTTATCGCCTCAGTCATTTGTGTGTACATGTATGTTCACAAGTGTACATGTACTTTTAAAGTTATTCTTGGACGATTTCATGCATGTATACCATGGTTCTTGATCATATCCTTTTCCAACTCTCTGCCCTGTGTTTTCATTTGTTTCTTCCATCTGTAAAGTGGTATTATTATACTTAACCTAGTTCCATAATTCCTTTTTGGATGAGTTTGTGCACAGTTCACTGTTAACTCTTTAAGGTTTTGTGAAAATGAAGAAACACATAGAAAAGTGTTGCCTCTTAGACAGCTGTGAAGTACACTGTAGTGTGTGGCTATGGAATCATGTCTCATAGATCTCATAGAGATCTGCCTGTCTCTGCCTCCTGAGTGCTGGCACCAAGGCACGTGCCAACAAGCCTGGCTCTAAGAAAGGGCTTGAAACTTAACCTTCCTGGCATAAACACTTGCTGCATGGGTGAGTTTGGGGAGATGCTGTCTGTGACATGCTGGGAAATGTATGGTGTGCATATAATCGGAAAGAGAGTTCACTTGCATTTACTCCATTTGTGTGTGTGTGTGTGTGTGTCTGTCTGTGTGTCTGTGTGTGTGTGTGTCTGTCTGTGTGTGTGTATGTGTTACGCTCACCTGTCCTTCTAGTGTAGTTCAATTGGTCTTTACTGCTTCACCTTCATCAAATGACTCTTTTTCTTCTGCTTTCTGCCTCCATCCAGAAGTGCATCTTTCAGTTCTTCACTCCGAGGGGCACCTTCGAAGGGGGTGACGTCACTGCGGACATGGTGACTGACAGGCTGCCCTGGCTCAGTTATCACAGTGCTGATGCTGTCCATTCTAAAGGTACAGTACTGTGATAACTGAAGGATGGCAGCCATCTTGCCTTCCTCCCTAGAAGTCTCATCACAGAAGGCGAAAGAGGAATGGAAAGCAGGACACCAGGACCAGACACACCAGTCACGCCACTCCTGTGTTCACCGCTCTTCTAGGCTGCATTTGTTAACAGGGAATAAAACAACATAGTGGTTTGCCTGGGATGTGAAGACGGCTATGCTGAGGACATACAAGGTCTGTGGAACCTTTTGTGTCTTGGAAGATTGATACTAGAAAAGTCCTAGGGACAAATCAATATAGGGTAGTATTGAGAGAAACGATACATTTTATAAACAAAAAAACCTAACTTGATTGACAGCTTTGCATTTGATACTTCACCGTTAGATGTTCAAAGTTAAACAGGGAATGGCATTATGTGTCAAACACTATCAATGTCATATGAATAAAAGAGTATCTGTGACTAAGGAATGACTTTTTGAAAAAAATGCTCATTATGAAATATCACCTCTACATGAAAATATTATTTTATTCTATTAAGTAAATAAAACCATTCTACACACCAGTACAAATCAGCTTCAGAGAGCTGAAGTTAGAGAGATACCAGCCAGTATCATGGTTGCATGGAAACCTAGAATCTTAATAGTGTGTGTGTCTTCAGCCCACGTCATCTTAAAAAGTACCGTGAGTGGGGTCTGTGAAGACAGCTCTGTCACTCATGTGCTTGTGTAAGCACAAGGACCTGAGTTCAAGTCCAGCCTCATTGTGAAAATCCGGTCATGATAATGTGAGTTTGTAATCCTTCAGTGCTGGAAGGCAGATACCAGCAGATCCTTGGTGCTTCCTGGCCAGCAAGCCTCACTGAATCCCCAAGCATAGTGAGAAACTTCAGAAAACAAGGTGGATGGCTCCCAAGGAGTAACACTTGAAGTTAGCCTCTGGCTTCTCTGTGTGTGCACACAACGCATGTGCACATATGAGCACATATGTGCAGGATGTATAATTGGAGTAGGGAGTAAGGCTCTTACAGAACCTGAGATTCTCTCTATCCAGTCATCCCTCCTCCTAAGAACTTTGAATATGTAAGCTAGGGAGTACCACAATTGGTGACATTGTTGGGTCATGGTTTACTGTGGGGCCCAGGTAATTGCATGGAATATGTGTTTTAGGTTCCAAACTTAACAGGGTCCTGTTAACCTCTTCCTAGACTAACATGTATGTCTGGGACCCTTACTGAGCAGTAAAGGAACTGAAGCCATGTCTTATATGTAGAGTCATGCCCATTTGAACTTACCTATGGCAAGAACCCAGATGGGCCAGGAGAGCAAAACCATATATGTGACTTTTAGCATAGACTGAACCTTAGCTGTTGATACCTCTACTTAGGGTCTTAGGTAGTTTCAGTACTCACTTTTCTACCGAGACAGAGGAGGAAAACAGGCTCTGGGAGCTGCCCCTGTCTCTTTGCCTATTACTCTCTCATTTCTTTCCCTTCTCCATCCAAAAAGGAGCCAAGCTGGTAGGCCACACCTGCTTGGCCACACTGACCATGTTTACAGCGCAGTACTTGAAAGTGTCTTCACACAGTATCTCATAAACCATGAGCTAGGCTCCCCTTAGTCAGTTATAGAGAGGGAGGGCTGCTCTTGAAATTTCTTGGAAAGGAACTTTTGACAGAAACCCTGAAAGAACTCAAGAGAACGTTCTGGGATTGGTGAGTCTTCAAGTAATTGGAAACACTCCTAAATTTTAGTGTTTTAGCAGGTGGAAAAAAGTGCTGGAAGAAGGAACGCATTTGTAATCCTTGGCTTTCGGGTGGATTTCACCACCTTCCTGACCTTCCTGTTTTTCCTCTTACTGGTTTTACAAAAATTCATCAGGATTTTTTACTTGCCTAAGCTTGACCTCACAAGCCACATTTGTTCACGTGGGATGTCACAGTTGTCTTATTCCTTTCACTGTTGCCATGATAAGATGCCTTGACAAAAACAAATTCAGGGAGAAAGGATTTCTCAAGACATCAGGAGCTTGAAGCAGCTAGCCACATTCTGTTCATAGTAGAAACGAGAGGCCAATGAGTGCATGCATGCAACTGTTGAACCTGCTTCCTCCCTGTTACACTGTCTTGGATTCCTGCCTAGGGAATGGTGCCTACCACAGTGGGCAGCTCTTCTACCTTAATTAATGTAATCGAAACAATCCCCCTTCTTTCACAAAGGATAATCCTCCACAGACATGCCCAGAATCCATCTCCTAGGTGATTCTAGGTTATGTCAAGTTTACAAAACTATCACAACTATATTGGCTGTAGTTTGTACTCAACATTTGCCTTCTATAGATAAGACTCAGGCTGGGCCAGGAGAACAGAGACAGTGGCTTCAGAAGCTCACCAAGGCCTAACGTCTTTGAAATTTTGGGTATGTGTGTGTGTGTGTGGTGCACACCTGTAATCTCAGCTTTCTGGAGACAGAAGCATGAGGATTACCCAGGAGTTCAAAGCCAGATTGGTCTATGTGAGCCTGGTCTACCTTGTAACGGCCAGCTAAGACTATATAATAAGACCCTATCAACAACAAAAGGGACATGTCTGAGCAGCTCTTAGATATAAGGCAGATGAATTTGATGCAGGTACATGAGAAGTGATGTAAGAAGAAGCTGGTGGGCCCACAGCTTTTTGGTTAGATTTGGTTGATGTAGTCATTACATATCTGTATATGTCCAAAGGAAGCAAAAAGAAGGACTGAGAGAGATACTTGTATATTCATTTTCATAGCATTATTAGAAGTAGCAGAAAGGCCGGGCGGTGGTGGCGCATGCCTTTAATCCCAGCACTTGGGAGGCAGAGGCAGGCGGATTTCTGAGTTCGAGAGTTTGAGGCTAGCCTGGTCTACAGAGTGAGTTCCAGGACAGCCAGGGCTACACAGAGAAACCCTGTCTTGAAAAAACAAAAAACAAAAAACAAAACAAACAACAACAACAAAAGAAGTAGCAGAAAGTTAGAAGCCACCTAAGTGTCCATGGATGGATGAGAGATGTGTACATACAGTAAAGTATTAGGCATTTAAAGGGAAGGAAATCATGACACCATCCACCGTAGGTGAACCTTAGTACTCTGCTAAGTGAGGGCAGGCACAACTGAACAGATGCTATGTGACTGACTCAGTTCAGGATCATAGGAAAAGTTACTGTTACCAGAGTCTAGAGAAGGGAGGAAGTAGGGAATTTGTACTTAAGGAATACAAAGTTTCATTTGGGGAGGGTGAAGCAGTTCCAACAGTGGCTAGTGATGGTTGTCTAACATGAATGTACTTAATGCCCAAAGGACTGGCTACACAAAATGGTAAATGCTATGTATCTCAACAATAAAACATTTACAGTGTTGATGCTGTTGACTCACCAGCAATAAGACTGTGTTGCATGCTGCTTTAATTTTCACTGGGAATATATCAATAGTACTTTTCAAAGTAAGCAGTTAAAATGTAACTTCCATGTCCTATTGAATACAAAGTTCTCAGATCTGTAGCCCCTTAACCATATTTCCAGACATAAGATGGCTTCAGTTGGTAAAATAGAAAAACAAGAAGAGAACTGAAAACAATGAGAAGTCTACTTATGGCCGCCTGTTCTGTTGGGCAAAGTGAGCAGTAATGGACTGCTGTGGTATGGTATCAAAGATAAAGTCACATTAGTCTCCTGGGCCATGGAGATGGCTCAGTGGGTGAAGGTGCTTGCTGGACATGCCTGGCAAGCTGAGTTCAATCTTCAGAACCCTTGGAAAGAAAAACCTAACTCCACAAAGTTGACCTCTGACCTTTGCATGTTTTCCCTAGCTTCACACATGTGAATCCCGGTCTTTGTGCCCTGAAGCTCCCTAAAGCCTCTCCACATATTTGTCTACACCTAGAAGTCATGAAAAACTTAAAGTTATATTCATCTCCAAAGAAGTGAAGTATAACATGTTACTTCTGAGGAGATAGACATTCAGCACCCATGTTTGAGGTAATAGCATATTGTTTTATTTGAATATTTTGCTTATTCAGGATTTTTTGGTTCTTTGTTTTGTTTTTTGATTGATTGATTGATTTTGGTTTGTTTTGTTTCTTTTTTGGCTTTTTGAGATAGGGTTTCCTGGCTCATTCTATAGACCAGGCTGGCCTTGAACTCAGAGATCCGCTTGCCTCTGCTTCCCAAGTGCTGGGATTAAAGATGTATGCCACTACTGCCTGGTTTTAACAAGCCTCACCTATGACCAGTTCATTGAAAGGACATTCTGCTCTCTATCATGCATGAATGGCTTTCCTGTTTAGAAAATTTTAATTTTGAAAGGAGAATAAAACCCAGGACTGGAAACAGCAAAAAAAGCTAAAATGTCTTTTTCCTTTTTTAAGACTAAATGTGAGATATGTTAGTGACTGTGTTTGGTGGGATGTTGTATTCAGGACAGGTAAAGCTCTTAGGAGTGCAGGACCCACCATTTGCCCAGGAAGCCACAGTCCACAGCTTGAAGAAGATGGACATGATGACCTGGCCATGCAAATCCTGGTCTTTGTGCCCTGAAACTTCCTACAGGCATTCCGCATGCCTGCCTGGCATCTTGGTTGGGACAGCATTGGTATCAGAGACATGAGTATCCACCAGAAAACTATCTCCAACATCCTATTGGGCACACATAGAAGCACCAGGGTGCACATAGTACCTAAGAACTGCAGCTATCACCTTACATACCAGGCCCAATGAGGAAGTTAGTCAACGTAAATTTGCTACAGAGAAATTAGTTCATAAACAAACAAACAAACAAACAAACAAATGAACAAACCCAGGCTGGAGAGATGGCTCAGTAATTAAGAACACTGGCTGCTTGTCTAAAGGTTCAATTCCCAGCAACCACATGATAGCTCACAATTGTCTATAGCTCTCATTCCAGGGGATCTGACTCCTTCACATAGACATACCAGTAGGTAAGACACTAGAGTAATGCAATAAAATTAAACAATTAAAAAAAAACCAAACACATAAGTAAGCATTCATTTGTACACAGTATTTCATCACAGAGCCTAGGCTTGGAGAGAGAACTCAAAGGAGGTTATAGTTGGCATACTGGTCAACCCCGGCTAGACCCTGGGCTTCCTACCACAGCCGGCACAGAGTTGGAGTGGAAGCTGATGGTTGTTCTTGCCCCACACAGACTCTAAATGCTTTGCTGCTTCTAGGACACTGTAAGTTAGCCCTGTGAGTAATAACAAACTAATTATTTCTTGAAAAAATATCAGTCTTATATTTTCTTTCTTTCTGGTCAATTCTCTGGGCCATCGAGCTGCTCTGTGTCAAGGCTTCCTATTGTTGGTCTTTTTGTTTGGATTTTCTCTGTTTTGCTTTTGAGACAGAGTCTCTTGTAGGCTGTTTCTGAACTGATAATCCTTCTTCTATACCTTCCAAGTCCTGAGGTTACAGGCCTGCAACACCCTAT